TCTGTGTTTATACCAAGCTTAGATCATAGAATTCTTCAAAATAATTAGACAATATTTGACCCCAAGACGGTCTCTTCTTTCTGAGGACCAGATCTTCTTACAATCTGGGAAGGATCAACTACAAAGGGCTCCATTTATAAACAAGGTAGATTAACCATTCTCACATTACAAATACAAAATCAGAAATTATAAGCACTGAGAAAACATATGTACATGATCACAGCTTGTGTTAAGTCTTTTAGACTCTTCCCAAGTCAGTACCTTTATTCTCAAATGATTTTCATCCATTTTGTATTTATCCAAATTGGAAATGACACTTAACATTACACTGCTTTTTATGGAGTCAAAGCACTTAGAAAATTTTAGCAGATCTGGTTAATTTGCTTACAGCTCTATAATCCTATGGTTTATCATGATTAGATGCAGCTGGAAAAAGAGCAAATGCATGTTTCTTGGATCTTGTTAACTGTCTCCTAGAACAATGAATATGTCATGCTAACAGTACTAATAATGTCATTGTTAGCTGTCACTGAGTTGTCCTCCAACTCATGGTGATCCCATATACCATGTAATGAAAACTTGTCCCATCCTATACCATCCCCATGATTGGTGGTGCTTGGGAGGCAATATTGGTCATGGTGTATTCTGGAGTCGGTTCTGACTTGTAGCGACCCTGAATAGGTTTCTGAGCATGTAAATCTTCATGGGAGCAGAAAGCCTCATCTTTTCTTGTGTAATGACAGGCAGTTTTGAACTGCTGACGTTGAGGTTAGCAGCATGACTCATAACCACTACACTACCAGAGTTCCTTAATATTGGTCAGAGCTAACATTTGTTGCTTCTTATGTGCTGGACACTGTGTTAATTGTCTACATAGATTTTCCAAAATTTTGAGTTCCAGTAACTTTGTTGCTGTTATTGTTGTTAAGTGCTGTCGAGTCGGTTCTGACCCATAGTGACCTTGTATTGGGTTTTCAAAGAGCTGCCGGTGAGCTTGAATTGCCAACCTTGTGGTTCAAATGACTTTATATTCCAGCGTATTAGCCTACAATGCCACACCAGAACTCTAGGAGGTAGTTAATATGGTTATTCCCATTTTCAGATGGAATGAGTAAAGTTCATAAATAGTGAATAGCTTGTCAGTTGACCCAGAGCTAGGAACCGGAAGGGCCAGAAATTCAAATTTAAGCTGTCGGACTCTGGCACCCATTGTCTTGTTCATCAGTTTCTTCTGTCTTACATGACCCAGCATGATGTTTGGGAAGAAACAGTCCTTGACCTAGTCTCGTATGCTCATAACCAGCCCTCAGAGTGATATGCTGAGGCGGTGCTATAGGAAATCAGGCTCTTATAATTCTTCATTCTTTTGGAAATTGCTTTCCATCTCTTCTGATGCTGATGTTAATAGAGTGAACTCAGTTTTTAGTGTCCTTATTGTTTTTCTAATGCCCATGGAGTTCTCTTGGAGGTAGGGACTATTTGACTGCTGAGTCCAGAATTGTTGGTGTAGGGTAATGTAGAAATTTACAGATAGGACAGAACACTTAACTTACAAAGAACAATGTGTATGACCTATTTCAGCTTGGGAAAACGAATAAGTGAATGAAGGAGCAAGTGAAAGAACCGATAATGGCAGGTAAATTTTTTGAGGATTTGTCTCTGTGGTCTAATGGTTCATCATCACAGTGATAGCTACTATATCTGAATTCTTAGCACATTTCTTTGATCCCAAGGGATTTGGGATAGATTGATTTCCTCTACTTCAAAATTTCTTATCACATTTCCTTTGTTCCTCCTCCCCAGCTCTTCCTATAAATATAAATTATTCTTATTTAGGGTCGAATTGTTCACTATAAAGTGACCAGAGAAGGTTTGAAAAATATTTATTTTATTTTATGTATCTGTTATTATTTTCATTGCTTCAGTGACTCTGGTCTAAGAAGAGGTCACAGATGTATTGAAGTCACACTGTTGAGCATCATTAACAGGAATGAGTTGCACAACACATTTAAATGAACCAACTTTCCATTCCAAACATTTTATGAAATGTTTTCTAATTTACCTTCTTAAAATTTGATCTGATTATAATATTTAGTTCCTTCCTCTTGTATGTAAGTATTCTATTTTTATAGTTTTTTGCATATTTTTAGATGTTATCTTGCCTACTTTTTTTTCTTTCTCTCTCTTGGTTTCTTTTTTCTGATTAAGCCTAACTTTCTTATAGTTTACGTTGGATTATTTTCTGCCTCCAGGAGACTAGGCAGAATGTGTTGAAATTGTCAAGTGAGTTGTTGTTAGGTTCCATCAAGTTGGTTTTGACTCATAGTGACTCTATGTATGAATAGAACAAAACACTGCCTGGTCTTATGCCGTCTTCACAATTGTTGTTATGTTTGAGACCATTGTTGTGTCCACTGCATCAATCCATCTCTTTGAGGGTCCTTCTGTTTCTCGATAACTTTCCACTCTACCAAGCATGATGTCCTTCTCCAGGGACTGGGCCCTCCTGACAACATATGAGAGACGAAGTCTTGCCATCTCACTTCTAAGGATTGTTTTGTCTGTATTTCCTGCAAGAGAGATTTGAGTAATGAATACTGAATTGTCAGAGTAGAGCACTGCCATACTAGGATTTCTGAACTGGTCCATGAAAATTATGTATCGACATGTCCAGCAATATCTGATATCAGGAGGTATATGAGAAAAGTCCATCCCATAGGCTGTGCCCTGAAAGATTTGGAAACAAAGCTAACTATGATGTTAATCTACAATCACAGGTGATGTTCAATAAATATTTACTAAATTGAGAGTTAATTTGGGATAAATATCTCAGTATGAACTTAGAAATGTTTTGCAACTTTAAAGAATGCATTATCAGTGTGAGCATAAGAGAGTGAGTTAAACCTCATAGAAAAGAAAGAGAATGGGGATGCTTGACTATTGACTGTATCCTTTTTTTAAGTTAGAAAGACAGATGGAATTTGTCAAAAAAACAAGAGAATGTCATAAGCAAAGTCTTGGAATTAGATATAAAGGTACAGGTATTCTCAGATTTATGACATTTTGAGCTACCACAAAGCACACCAATGACTATCTGTATTTTTGTTTATATCTTATCGTTAGTAATATGTACTGCATACAATGTTGATGCATGCAATTTGAAGATGCCATTGTATCTTAAAGTTTATATGTAATGTTGACAACCCTCAAAGACAGATTAGATTTTTAAAGATACTGATAATAAAAAACAATAGTAATGATAACTAAAAAAAAAAATAATAGTAATAATGAGGTCTTCGACTTAAGACAGAACTGAATTACAATAGAGACACTGGGACAGAGCACATGCTAAGTGGATGAGTACCTACAGAACATGTAAAGAACATGCTTACAATGTGTGTGCACAAGGAGAAAACCACAGACTTTGGCTTTTACAATGAGAACACTGTTTTCATGAAAATGCTGTGGCTGTGAGTTGCCTTCAAATTGCTTCCTAACTCATGCCAACACCATGCACAAAGGAATCAAATGCTGCCCAGGGTCAGTTGCACACTGGACCATTGTGATCCATAGGGTTTGCATTGGCTTGCTTTTTAGAAGTAGATGGCTAGACTCTTCTTCCCTGTCTTAGTCTAGATGTTCCACTGAAACTTGTTCAGTATAATAACAACACTGAAACCTCCCCTGAGAGATGGATGGGGGCTGCACTTGAGATTCATTGGCAAGGAATCGAACCTGCGTCTCCTACGTGGAAGGTCACCGAACCATCGTTGCCACCCAAATGAGAATGATGAGCAGCAGCAAAAGAATAGGAGATTCCCATCTAAAGGACACCTCTCAAGAAGCCTTACATGGATCTCTTGAGAGATTATTTTGTAAGGTTTTGAAGCTTATGTTTTGTGATTACAAAGACTGATATTTAGGGTTTACTCTACACTGTGATTAAGGAATGGACTTGTAATTCCAGGAAAAGGCAAATGAGAACAGAGCATAGGATTGGTTGAGTCCACAAGCCAAAACAGCATTGGACCCTCCAGTAGTGGGAGGTGCCAATTTACATGACTTCTGATAAGGCAGAAAGGTAATTAACCAATAAGAGACAAGGTGTTACCGAAAAGTGAAGTTCACGCACCTGATTACTAATTAATCAGGCGTGACAGCACCTTGTAGATGCATTCACTATTTAATTATAGCAGCCTCTCTTAGCAAAGGAGCATATGTTTCCAGCTTAATCTACTGGTTTATACTGACATCAAATTGTCATTATCAGAAAGAATCAGGCCTTTTGATTATTTCCACTAATTTATTGAACACTTAAAATTAATGAACCCCAGGCCTTTAAAATGTGCTCAGTTGGTTTGGAAGATGGGAGGAGAAAAGGGGGGTGGTGGTAGAGAAAAGTCTTCATTAAAAGGATAATTTGTTTGGATAAAGGTAAAGCAAATACATTTCATGGGTGATCTGAACTCTATGGGTGAAAAACACATGAATTCTAAAAGATGAGTTTTTGAAATGATGGAGAGAAAATAGAATATGAGGTGTGCCCTGTTGACCATGCTTGTCCACTAAAGAACATAGGGCTAATAGTTTTATGTTATTTTTCATTATTTACATGCAGATGCACTAGGCAACATTACCACAGTTAAATAAAGTCAACAAAAGAAAATGCTGGATATCAATAGTTACATAACTAACAAGGATTTCAGTTTTTTTAAAAAATTATTTTTGCTGAAGAAAACGTATGCAAAAGAAAATGTCAAGCCAACAATTTCTACATGTATAATTCGGAGACATTGATTACATTCTTCAGGCTATGAAACCATTCTCCTCTTCTTTTTCAAATTATAAACACTTCAGTTTTATATTTTGACAATTTTGTTTGGAAAAGGAGAATTTAACACAAAACCACCTTCTCGCATGTCAATATCTTTTACCTTAGGATTACCTCTGCATTGCACTGAATTTTTAGTTGTTGTTTTTTTTTTTTTTTTGGTATTCAGTTTCAGGTGAAGGCCAAGTTCAAGTGACTCTCCAGGTGAAGGATGGTGTGCCCCCAACTATGTCAGGTGAGCATTGACCCACCAAATAGACTATCCTTCAATAGTTTCTCAAATTTCTTTTTTATATCATAAAGATGGGAAAGCATCAGTCCTAATGTTTTAATGCCAGACAACAGTCTCTATTGTATCACCCCTATAACCAATACAGAGTCAGAAGCTTTATATAGGGTCGCTATAAGTTGATGGCAGTGGGTTTGGTTTTGTTTTGTTTTATAGCTAATGTATGTGTCTGCATATCCAAGAAAGACATCAAGGCACATTTACTTCTTAAAACAAAGGAAAGTAAGAATTGAAACATGTAAATAAGCACATTTTATAAATTATGGGCCATATGTGCACATGGGAGTCCAGACCTGCAGATGGACCATTAGGCCTCCACTAAATGGAAAGAAAAACCTAGTGTATCTCAATACTTTAATTGTTCCCAGTAATTTCAGAAAATCAGGGTAAACAAACCCTCCCCCAAATCAGATGATTTTGTGAAGTCTTTCTAACTCATTAAAGCCAAATTCTCAAAGACTAAATGTCTCATAAGCACCTTCTAATGTATTTCATTGTTTGTTATTGTTTATCCTAAGTCAATTTAACTATGCATTTGCAACAGGGGTGAATCTTTTCAAAGGCTGACTTTTCCTTTGATTTTCATTGGTACTTTTTCAATATGTCAGAGCAGAGCCCATTCTAAACAGAAAGTAATCTAATTTCTCTAACTAATAAATACATGAGGTAAAGGTACTAGATTAAAGCTATAAACTGAAAGTACTGATGACTACTACTCCATGCTTATGAAGGATGTGATTCTTAGCTTGTTTTCAGAGACCTTTCTGAGCTGTCATAGCACTTTGCTCTTTATGCCCTCTACCCTTTGTCCCCTTATCCTTAGTTGTTGTTGTTAAGTACCATTGAGCCAGTTCTAAATAATAGCAACCCTGCCTAGGGTTTCTGAGGAGCAGCTGGTGAGCTTGAACTGCCAACCATGTGGTTCAAATCAACTTTGCAGTCCAGCGCATTAATCCACAAGGCCACACCAGGACTCCTTTTCTTAGTGGTGGTACTGTTTATTGAGTGCCTCTTGTGTGAGGTTGGGTGATATAATGGTGACCAAGATAGAATGATCTTTGACTTCATCAAATCTATGGTCTTCTGGGGGTGTCCATCAGATGATGAACTAATCAGTTAACCCATTTCTTTTATAATAACTGACACTGAGATGAAAATATTTGATAATTTTCTCTTTTCTGAAAGTGTTGTGTTCAAATCTGTAAAAGAGATTGAATTGGTGGGGTCAGTTCCCATCTTGTAGAGGACAGAACTTTTGTGGGAGCTCTCATGCTACCTTTGTGGGAGCTCAGAGAACACTGGATCATCCATAATGACCATTCCTGATTCAGTCAGCTGCAGTCACAGTGGCAATCCCTCAGCACTTGTTTAAAGATTTCTGTGCAAAGAGCTCCATGGAAGAACACTGTGGGTGGCCAGGGTCCATGACTTCTGTGAAGGGGCCAGGTTCATTGGATGATGGTTCCCTTGGTCTGCCAATTACTGCATGCTGAATGAATAGAAAGTTGATGCTTCATAGATTTGTAACATGTTAACAGTTCATCTTATTCAATTTCTTCATTTTACAAATGCAAACATGGAGGATTCGAGATTAAACAGTTTACTTTTTCACATCAGCAGTCAGTGGTGAGCCTGGATTAGAATTTAGGTTTTTCAGTTTAGTTCAGCATTCTTTTCTGCTATACCATTTAATCTCTAAAGTGTTTAAATTACCTGCTTTTTAGACATTAATTTGTGTATTAGATTATATCAGCTATGTTTATATGGCTATGGAGTCCTGGTGCTTCACAAGGTTGGTGTTTCAAACCCCAAAGATACTCCTTGGAAACCTTATGCAGGGTCACTATGAGTTCAGAACCAATACTTAACAACAACAACATGCTTATAGCCAGTATTCCTAGAGTAATATAGAAAATGATGTCAAAACACCGGGGAGTTAACAGAATTAGTATATTAACATCCTTCAGGAGGAAATTTCAAATATTAACAAGATTACAAAGCATGGTTTAATCCTTATGGTATGGGATATATTTTATGCTAATGAAAATTTAAATATGCATATTTGTTTGCTGAAGAACTGTACAGAAAACAGTAAAATTGCAATGTCAAAAATTATGGGTAAAAGAACAAGATGATTAAGAAAGAGCTCTACCCATATAGGGTCACTATGAGTCAGAACTGACTCAATCGCACTTAACAACAGTAATCCATATGTGATACTGGACAGTCTACATTGGAAAGGATTAGACTTAGGCATCATAATGTGATGCAAAGGCCAACAGAATGGTTGAAAATAAAATGCCATTTGAACATAAGAGGTAGAATCAATAAAAATCCAGTTAGAACATAAAGATGTGCAATTTATTGCAGTGAGAGATGTTGAGATTGCTACGCTGTCTTTAATATGTGAAAAGATCATATACTTTGATTCAGGAATTGCATTATTAGGAATCCATTTTTAAAAATGATCATCGTTATCGATGAAATTGCATGAAAACATTTAATGTCACATTATTTATAATTAAATGGAAGTGAGAAGAGGTTAAATGTTAAACAAGGATTAATAAAAAATGGACTTTCATATGATAGAATATAACATGGCCATTCAAATTATGTTTATATGGAATTTTAATGACATTAGAAAATTCATATGAAAAACATCTAAGCTAAGAAAAAACTGAATGTAAAAGTGCATGCATGATTAACTCATTATGTACAAATGCTGAGAAATTCTGCAATGAAATGTAATGAAAGGTTAATGGCAGTTATGTCTAGGTGATGAGATCATTGGCATTATTATTTTTCCTTTATCTTTATTAGCATATATTCCAGAATTTCCACAATAAGCATATATGATATTTATAATAGGATAAAACATAAATGTTTAATAACCAAATTAGGATATATTTTTCACTAGTATATTAATCTATAGATTAAATAACTTCTTTCTGATTGATCATTGTTCTTACAGAGGATCATAAAATTTTGAAAGACAGCTACTTTGATAGTGAAATTATAAAGGGCATCTTCAAACAAGTGATAGAATTTGGAAGTTATCAAAGTGAATCAGATTTTCATAGTCATCTTTGCTTTTTTTTTCTTTTGTTTTCTAGCGTCTACCTCTGCACCAGAATCATCTTTAAAATGGTCCCTCCCTGAAACCTGGCAAGGGGTTAAAGAGGACTGGGGAGGACACAACAACACCATCCCAGGTCCTGGGGATGATGTCTTGATTTTACCCAGTGAGTAAAACAACCTAAAAGAACCCAAAACAGGGGACTTCCAGTTGGGGCTATTGCTGCGAAAACCAGGTAGTGTAAGCTCCAGTGAGAAGGGAGGGGGATCTCAGGAAGGAAGCAGAACAATTCCAGAGCTCTGGATCTATCATAAGATCCAGGACGTCTGTTTCTCTGCACTCGCAAATGAAAAAATCACAACATTAAGGAAAATACTGCGAGTTAGGAATCTGGAGATGGGACTCCCTGAAAGCAGTGCAAAGGCCTCTGCAAAAAAAAAAAAAGAGGCCTACACATTTCCACATTTCTCCCTCTTTCTCTCCCTGTCCCACCTTCATTGCTCAACCGGGACATCAGGTGGGACAGTTTTCCCACTGTACAGAGAGAGGGAGCTTGGTGGTGATTTATGACGTCACATGCGGAGCCACAGATCCAAAAGTTTCCCCAGTGGGACCCCTCACGTCAGTGCACCATGAAGTAGGTTCTGACTCCAGATGACCCTGCACGGGGTTTCCAGGGCTGTGGGTCTGAGCAGGAGCGGAGCACCTGTGGTTGGTGAATTCAAGCTGCTCACCTTGAGGTCCACTGTGCTGCCCAAGCTCTCTGCTGCAGGACCTATTCAAAGCAATCTGTCAAACCCCAGCATAACAGGACTCAACCATCCCGAGAATTGCGCTGTGCACACTCAGATACCTAACTGACCTTCAGAAACAAAAATAGTGGACAATCTTTCTTTCATTAACTCCCCAATATTTATCTACACACCTCTACTGTAGTGACTAGTGGAGGGGCCTGAGAGAGTGGACACCGCCACCCCCTGCTGGAAGCTTCTAATTGCACACACACTGATGGTGTGCTCAGGGAAGTCCACCACAGCTTCATTTCTGTTCCAAAGTGGTGATTTATATTACTTCTGCTTTTGGTCCTTTTGATCATACATCTTTCCTGGAGGTGGGAGCTTTTTCTTCTTACGTTACCAAAGAAGAGACAGCAATCATGACCATATAGCCAAGCTATAAGCATACCCCATAATATTCTACCACTGAGAGAAGACCCAACAACACCGCTAAGCATTACAAGTGAAAAGGGAAGCCTATCTCTGGATCACATTCACCAGGAAACACCCAGTAAGCTTAAAAACAAACAACAAACATTCACTTAAGCTTTAAAAACAAAACAAAACAAAACAAAAAGCCACAAAACTATCATGATGAATAAAAAGCAATAATCAATATTGGAACATGTCCAAAAACAGAAGAAAGTAGCTGATGCAAATGACCTGGAGACAGACAAAGGATTTATAGAGAAAGAAGAGCAGGTTTTGGATATGCCTGAGAAAGAATTCAGAAGAATGATATGGAAACAAATTCAAATGCTCTGAAAAGGGGTGGAGGAAAACAAGGAAGATGTCAGGAAAGTACTACAGAGCAATCAAATAAGATTGATACAGCACTGGAAACAATTCAAACCTGCAGAAAGATGTCCAGAGGATCAATAATAAGATATCAGAAATGGACAATATGTTGAAAGGGGAAAGGAGCAGAATAGAAGAGATGGAAGCCAGAACTAGTAATACGGAAGGCAAATCTCTCAATACTGCTAAGATAGAAGAGCAAGCTGAAAAAAGGATAACAAAATCTGAATAGAGTCTAAGATTCTTACTGGATAACATGAAGAGAAACTACTTAAGAATTATTGGCATTCCAGAACAGAAAGAATCAGAGAAGTCCACAGAGAAAATAGTTGAAGAACTTCTGTAAGAAAATTTCCCTAACATTTTGAAAGATGAGAAGATAAACATTCAAGAAGCTGAACATATGCCAGGACGGATAGACCCCAAAAGAAAGTCACCAAGATATATAACAGTCAAGCTCTCTGAAACCAAAGACAAGGAAAGAATACTAAAATCAGCCAGAAAGAAGAGAAATGTCACTTATAAAGGCAAGCAAATTAGATTAAGCTCTGACTGTTCAGAACAAACCATACAGGCAAGAAGGCAATGGGGAGACATATACAAAGCCCTACAAGAAAAAAACTGTCAACCAAGAATCATCTTTCCAGCAAAACTGTCAATCAAATACGATGGTGCAATCAAGACATTCCACGATAAGCAGAATCTGAGAGATTTTATCAAAGCCAATCCAGCACTTCAAAATATTCTAGAGGGAGTTCTGTGGACTGAAAACCATCAAGAACAGACAACAAACAGAGATTGACAGGCATGGTAACACCACCTGGAAATCAGTCAACAGATAGCAGAGTCCAGATTAGAACAAGACTACAGCAGCAAATTCAAAGGATCTGGGAGGTCAACTGAAGATCAAAATTATATCAATGTCAAAGAAGGGACAAACGTAGCAACAGAGACCCAGGTGGTGAGGATGCCAGGTAAATTACAGGATACAATGGATTATTTTAAATGGAGAGAAAAGTTAGTAGACTACAAGGTAACCTCAAATAAAGTTAATACTTCACAACTTATCATAAAAATGAATTTCTAAGCAGAACAAGAAAACTAAAAAGAAACTGACAAGAAATAGCACAAAACCTACAAACCCAGTACAAGAAGGAATGCTGAACAAAAGAATGAACAGCACCACCAAAAAAATAACATAATGACAGCAATTAATTCATAGCTATCGGTAATTATATTGAATGTCAATGGAATGAATGCACCAGTGAAGAGACAGAGAGTGGCAGAATGGATAAGAAAACAAGACCCTTCAATATGCTGCCTGCAAGAGACACACCTTACACACAAAGACAAAAACAGATTCAAAGTTAAAGGATGGAAAAAAATTTACCAAGCTAACAGCAACAATTAACAAGCAGGAATGGCAAAACTAATCTCCGACAAACTAAACTTTAAGATAAAAACCAGCATAAGAGACAAAGAAGAACACTCTCATGATTAAAGGGTCAATTGAGTAAGATGACATAACCATAATAAATATATATGCTCCCAATGAAAGAGCACCAAGATACATGAAGCAAACATTACTGGAATTGAAGAAAGACATAGATAAATCTACAATTATAGTGGGAGATTTTAACAACCACTCTCAAAAAAGGGACAGAACAACCAGAAAGAAGCTCGACAAAGTTACAGAGGAATTAAGCAACACAATCAACCAATTTGACCTCATAGATGTATACAGAGCATTCAGTCCAACAACAGCACAATATA